TTTCTTTCAGCTTCTGGAGCCCACTAAATCACATTAAATATTTTTTAATAATTTTATTTTATTATATAATACTGAATGGCTCTCCTTGAGTGTTTAAGATACATTGAGAAATGGTCCTGTTCAGTGGATGTCGCTCTAAGATTATAGCAATTGCATTAACGACAGAGATATGGCATTGCTTTGCCAATTATGGGGCTATTTGAGTGGCCGCCCGCCTGCTGTCATTTATACCGCAAATTAGCCCGGAAAGTGGAAGTAACCAAGGCGGAGAGGCGGTGGGCCGAGCTCAACTAATAACTTCTAGTTGCGTGAACAGCCCGTAAACCAATTCCCCTCGACTGTGCTTTCATTAGCGCTGCCTCAATGGCCAAGGCTCCCTGATTTCCAGGATTCGTTCTTGGCTCAGGCCAAACGATTATTGGCTTGCGCTTGCGTTTGTGTGTGTGAGTGTGTGTGAGGGTGGGGTCCTGCTAAGTCCCTTTTCGAGTAAAAGCCCCCACCCCACTGATTGCCAGATTTGTTAATTATGCACGTTATAATTAATGTTCGCTATCCTGGACTGACCTGACTATCCACCCCGGCAAACCAATCCACTCACACTTGCCGGCTAATTGTCAATAAATTTGCAAGTTCAAAATATCATTTCCCAGCCCCAGCCCCAGACCCAATCCGCCCCCCGCGATGCTCCCTGCTGTCATGCTGGCTGTCAGTTGTGCTTAATGCTTAAATGAAATCTAATCACGTTCTAATTTCAGTTAAGTGTGACAGCGAATGGAGCGAGCTGCCTTTTGGAGCCCCCAATCTTCCAATCCCTCATCTTCATCCTCATCCTCATCTTTGATCCCCGACCCGAACCAACCCGCTCGTTTTCGTTTCTCGTCTCCTTGTATTTCATTTCCGCCATTTAAGTGGGCCACTCCCACTTCGTTTGCTGTATTATTCTTTTTGGCCAAGTGCCAGTCGGCAAAATTTGCATTCAATGAAGGCGACTGACCTGCAGTCGGAGGGGGATATTTTAAGAACGTTTTAAGGATGTTAAGAAGCGCTAAAACTTTGATGAGCTCGATTTATGGCGAAGCATAAGTTTGGTAGTCAGAAGAACCCTGATTACCTATATATTAAGTGACTTAATAAATCCATAAAAATACGCTAAGAATTTATTAAAATATATATCACCTCTAGCATTTCTTTAAATTTATTCATATACATTTTTAAATTCTTTTTTTTGTATGTTATATATATGTTAGTTATTGAATTGGAAAGATTAAAAGGGCATTGTCTTATTTATCTTGTGATTCAAATATTTTGTTTTCATGCTTATTAGATCGTGTTTCATATTCACTTACTAAAGAACAGAGTTGTGCATTTTTTCGCGTCTGGCGGAAAAGTTCCTTTAAATTGCGAAACTGGCGTTAAATCTCTCATGACCGCATCTACCAGCACTGCATGTTTCATAACTTTTCATTTGAAAATGATGCCAGAGGGGCCGGGAAACTATTTCGTTTTCGAATTAGCAAACGGTTCTCCCTTCGAAAATCTAGTTAATTAGCGCTCAACAACAAACAACTCGGAGAAAACAGCAACAGCAACAGCATCATCACTATCATCATCATCATCATCATGGCTGTGAGCAGTCGGCAGTCGCACAACTTTATTTTTGGCGCAAAATAGTTGAAAAGCTGAGCGGAGGGTTGCCACGCCCCCTGGCCTGAAAACCACCCAGCCGCCCACTAAGCTCCGAAAAGTATGCAGTGGCAAAGTGCTCGTGAATTAAGCAATTAGCCCAGTCGAAGTAAAAGAAGAAATAAAAGCAGGGAATTGCGAATTAGCCGACATCCCAAGTTGGCTATATTGTTGCACAAATCTGACGCCGACCCGCTGCTAATTGACCAATATTTCCGGCTTCGCATCATCGCCATCATCCCGGGGTCTTGGCTTTGCCTTTGGTTTCAATATCGGTCGGCCACTGGCATTGGCATGGTAATTGCAATCGCTGGCATTCCACTTCCTCCCCGAGAATCCAGACGTTGCGAGGACACAGCATAAATACAGCCAATAAATTGAATTTATTTCAGCCAGCTACCAATTCCAATTTTGAGCATTAGCTTCCCTTTCTTTGGGTTTCTTGGAAAAAGAGAATGGTGACTTCTTTGTGGACTCGAAGAAATAAAATATTGGTTTTTGCGAGTAACAAAGGAATGTTTTATTCTGGGGCATACTCTGAACAAAGCCAAAGATAAAATTATAAAATTTATAGAATAATTCTGAATTATTTAATAGTCGTAAAATTTAGGTTTTACTTTTATCTAACTAATTTAGAAAATTCAAAAAAGGTAATCTATTAGAATGTTATAAAAGTATCTAGGGTATTTTCATTTTTAAATAAATCTAAACTTACTAAAAATATTAATTAATGTAAAATACAAAATGAAATATATAAAATTAGGAAATTTTCTAGTCCAAGAGTATCTTCCTTTCGAATTGACACGCACTTGCTGGCGGCTTCCCTTCTGTCGCCTGCTTTTTGGCACATTGCTTATTGATTATTTTCACTAATTTATGTGCTAATAAAATTGTCAATTTGTATGCGTGCAGCGGCGGTTCGCATTGAGGCGGATTCCGTTCCTGCGAGTGGCTGTCTGTGGATGTCCTCGCGAAGGAAGGAGACGCGGCTGACAAAACCATTAGACTTAAGTGTCTCCTGCTGGCCAGCGGCTGTCTCCCTCTAAGGCCGTCGCCCTATCTCTTTCTCAGAGGGCAGAGTGCCAAAGGCTCTTACAAATGACGCTGCAGGACATTTCTGGTAACGATTTTCCCGTCGAAAGCCAGCCAGCCAGCCAGCCAACCAACCAGCTTTGTCTTTAGTTTCACGTTTTCGCCGGGAGAAATCTCACCCATTCTCTGGCCAAACCGGGGTTTCCAACTGGCTTATTATGCCGCATTTGAGTTTAAATACGGCCGCAAGGATTTCGCCGATTGCCTTGGGGCTATTGATAATCTCTGGCTCAGTATTTATGCAAATATTCTGGAGAATTATGGCAAGTTTGGGAATTGAATATCAAATGAAGTGCGTTGTGGTAAGCTTCGAGCGCAGGTTGTCGATTGGGAGTTCCAATTTTAATTTAATTTCAGTGAAACTTATTAAAGAATTTAAAAATGAAGCTGGCACCAAATGTAAGTTATCTGGAAAGCGTTGATAATCGAGTTTTTGTGTTTAGTGACCTGTTTAGTAATGTGGCATTGTTTATGAGCTGGTTTATTTAAAAAGCACTATAAGTTTTGTTACCTTGGCAAGAAATAATGAACGTTCTCAAATGGGGAAGCTCCTAAAAAGACTTGATTTTAGTTATAGCAATATATATTTCCCATTTTTTTTTACGCAGGAAAGTTTTTTTTTTTGCAAATGGCTAAAACTCGACTTATAATGAAAGATACATTTTTAACCGGTGAGTAAAGACACCTCAATTGCTACTAAACCCAGGCTGGTTTAATGCATTTTCTAGGATAGCAGTTCCATCACCAGAACCTGTTATGCGCCCTTGCTCTCCGCCATAAACAATATTTTCGCGCACTTCCCCAAGGCACTTCCCCCACTTCCACTTAGCAACCTTTCTGGCCTTCAAAAGGAGTAGCTTTTACACCAACGGTGCCATTCGATGGGCGGGTAAAAGGGGGGATGCTTGAGCAAACCACTTGATGATGAAGACATTTTGCCAGCTAAAAAATCCTATTTACAACATAATTTACGCTTAAAATGGGGGGAAAGGCGGAAGGCTGTGAGGCTGTGATGGAATATGGGCGAAAGGGTGGACCCGGGGAAGTAATCCCCATTCAAAGTGCCGCCACTCAAGTGCCACTTTGCCGTAGTTGTGCCTCGACTGGCTCCTGCTGAAAAATGGGACAATTTCATGCCTTTTAATGGCAAACTTTTAGTGGTCAATGCAATGGCTGCCGCAATAACATCATCAGGAGCGGAAGGCCATTACCGAAGGCCTCCATAAAGAAACGGCCAACTGACCCAGCAAACTTCGCGCCTGAAACTCCCTTCGCCCTCTTAAATTATGTAAAAATACATTTCTGCTAAAAAAAAAAAATATATATATAAGAAGGCATTTGGCAGCATGATGGGGCAACGACGGAAAGGAAGGTGCAAATTGTATTACACGAAGTCAAGTCAAGTTTTGCACTCGCTGCTGTTCTCCGCTTGCCGCCCTTTGATGTCGTTGCGCGAAAATTGAATAAAAATAAAATTGTAATGCGTTTGCACTGCGGCAGATGGGTGGTGAGTTTGCGGTTGAGGGCTGAATGGAAAGGAAATTGCGGGAAATTTTGTAAATTAATGAGATGTTGAGTGGGGAGGGGCGACCAACGCGCCAACTTGACGTAATTAAAAGCGCGACTTATATTAAACGAATTGGTGATTTGTTAGTGAACTAAAGAGGGCAGTTCCTCGACGACTTAAACATAAAAAATCTACATGTTACATATATGTAGCTCACAACGGAATTCTAAACATTATTTCATAAAACAGTTCAGCAACAAGAAAATAAATAAATTGTTTATAAAATTCAAACAATAACTAGAAGAGAAACGAACTATAGCAAGCTGAATTTGATATAAAGAACAACAAAATATCAAGTACTCAAGTTTAAAAAAGAATGCAGTCATGTAGATTTTACAATACATTTTTTTCGGCTTTCCTATGGTGAATTTATGATCGTGACAAATTTGTTTGCGTATATTTGAAAAACAACAAAACTATGTCGATTTGCTAATTTCCTTTGTATCACTTGCTGACCTTTTGGTAAATAAAAACACAAAAATTCCCAAGAATTAGCCATATGTATTCCCCAACTAGACTACACGTTCAGCAGAAAAAGAACAATTGGAAACAGTGCTTTCACCTCGGGGTTATCTTCCTGTATCGCCGAGCGAGCACAACAAGCGTTATCAAAGTGAGACCCCTCTCGCCATATATGTTTGCCGATCGCTTTGCAGCCGACAGTTCGTTCAATATCAGCGACCAGAATGGTTCGCCTACGTGGATTACTTTCCAGCCTGGGCCTGCTCCTGGCCATTTACGGAGTACAGACTAGATTTTGCGGAGGATCCACGGATCAGAAGTGTGTGCCACGGCAGTCCTGCAGGATCGGCTCCGAGAATGGAATGCCGATCATCGAGTACCGACATCTACAAGGCGGCAACTTTGGATGTCCTTCCACGGAAACCTGCTGTCCCCTAACAGAAATGGTAAGCGGTCAGGGAAGAAAGATATATTTTCATAACTGGTTCCCCTTGCAGTTGGGTAATCCAATTCCCGTTTTTGATGACCCGGTTCAACTGGATTGTGGCCACGTCAACAAGCAAGGTCTGACTTTCACCATTAGGGGCTTGGAGGAGCTGGCCCAGGAGGCCGAGATGCCATGGGTGGTGGCTCTGCTGGATGCCACAAACCTGCAATATAAGGCAGCCGGTTCCCTCATTGCCCCGGATGTAGTGCTCACAGCCAGCCATGTGACCGACAAACTGGCCGAGAACCAGCTTCTTGTGAGGGCTGGCGAATGGGACCTTAATACCGACACCGAGCAGCAAAAACATGTCGACGTTGCCATCAGGAAGATCGTGCGCCACCCTGAGTTTGATGCAGACAATGGACAATACAATGTGGCGCTTCTGTTCCTCAAGACACCGCTTCAGCTTACCCGCCACATTAATCTTATCTGCCTGCCGTCATCGAACCGGAACTTCATCCAAAGCCGATGCCTGGTCGGTGGCTGGGGTAAGAAAACCATCGAGGCCAACAGCTACATGAACATTATGAAGAAGATCGAGTTGCCGGTGGTGGACAGCCTTACATGCGAGAAGCAACTGCAAGAACCCTACACCAAAGACTTCAGGCTCCATCACAGCCTGATGTGCGCCGGCGGAGAAATCGGCAAGGATTCGTGCGAGGGTGACGGAGGAGCACCGCTGGCCTGTCCGCTCCAAAGCGATCCCGAGCGGTACGAGCAGGCCGGCATCGTTAACTTTGGATCCGGATGCGGAGAACCGATCCCTGCAGTCTACACTGATGTTTCCAAAATGAACGTTTGGATTAGGCAGCAGATCGAGGCGAATTCACCAGGAGGAGGTGGAGGTGGAGGTGAAGGCAGATATTTAGACAATGGTAATGCTCGAGGTGCAGGCGACAGAAATATTCGGATTATGGGCAATGGTCAGGAAGGTAGGGTTGAAAATGTGCCAGGATTTGAGCAAAGGGGAGTACCAGTTCCAGCTGTATGGAATGAACGTGTGCCAGGTGGATTAGGAGGATCTGGTCGAGGAGGTGGTAATGTCGCAGGTGGAGGCAGTAGATTTGATCAAGTGGGAGCCCCAGTGAACGTTCCAGCTAGAAATAACGAATATATTCCAGGTGGAGGCGAGGGATATAATCAAGGCGGGGCCCCAGTGAACGTTCCAGCTAGAAATAATGAATATATTCCAGGTGGAGACGGAGGATATAATCGAGGAAGAGTTCCAGTGATCGTTCCAGCTAGAAGTAATGAATATATTCCAGGTGGAGGCGGAGGATATAATCAAGGTGGGGCCTCAGTGAACGTTCCATCTAGAAATAATGAATATATTCCAGGTGGAGGCGGAGGATATAATCAAGGGGGAGCCCCAGTGAACGTTCCAGCTAGAAATAACGAATATATTTCAGGTGGGGGCGGAGGATATAATCAAGGAAGAGTTCCAGTGATCGTTCCAGCTAGAAGTAATGAATATATTCCAGGTGGAGGCGGCGGATATAATCAAGGGGGAGCCCCAGTGATCGTTCCAGCTAGAAGAGATAACTATATACCAGGTGGGTTTGAGGGGTCAAATGGAGGGGGTGGTAACGTCGCAGGTGGAGGCGGTAGATATGATCAAGGGAGACCCCCAGTGAACGTTCCAGCTGGAAGGGATGAATTTGCGCCAAATGGACTTGCAGGAACAGGCGAAGGAGGTGGAGCGGGTGGTAATGCAGCAGGTGGAGGCGTTAGGTATGATCCAGGAAGATTCCCAGAAGCCAATCCCTTCTTTGGAGATAGAAATGAACCAGCTGAAACCGGAGTCGAACGTAATAGATATGATACGATTGGGAGTCAAAACACGCTTCCCGGTAGACGTGATCCGCCTGTAAATGAAATTTCCAATAACAAAAATATTGTATTACAAAATGATGTAAGGAAAAAACAGACAAAACCAGGCGAACAAACCACTATGGAAGTATTTAGAGCCTAAAACATATATTGTCTTGTCTTTGTTGAATGAATGTTGGCCGAAACTGTTTAAAGCATAAATATCTTTGAATAAAAGCAATTTATGAAATCCTGTTTTAATTATTGATGAATCCAAACGATTAAACTGCTGTGAACCGAAAACTAACAGGCAACACTCATAAAACACTATTTGTTATATGTTTTCTATTTTTTTTAAAACTAGAGGGCTGATGATAGAGTTTTTTAATAGCGGTTTTATACTGTTCGTGTGTGCAGCTCAACAAATGGCGCCACCTATAACCCGGCTGTTTTCTGAGTCGGAACACTGGACTATTGCGTTGTCCCCTGCTTTTCTTGCTATCATTAACTTGGTAATTTCCCAAATTCTTAAAGGTTTGGACCTTGACCTCAACCTAACATAAATTTCGCTGAAAAGTATATAGTTGTTGTGATGTTTTTGTTGTTGTGAAACAAGTAGACATGCAAACAATGAACGTAATCTATAATACTAAGAATCGTAGAATTGGTCTTACAATATATCTGCGATGTTCCGAGAACGAGATAAGCTCTCAATAATGTCATTAGTAATCTATGGCACCGATATGTGTACGTTAATCTCTATTGTGAATCAGTATATATATATCTTAAGTACTAGCAATGTTTAATATGTTATTTCTAATTCGCTATCTGTTTCTTACCTCTTTTAAACATTTAAATTAAAAATGCTGGCCGTTATACAATTATATTGCAATACAATATTTTAATAATTCATTCTGCATAACTATTTATGTGCTAATTTGTATTCGATCATTTTCTTATTCAAGAGATTCATTCTATTTCGGCCAGCCTGCAACATCAATGTTCTGTTGCTAATTATGCTATTATGTGTCTTATAAATCATCTGGGGTGAAATGAATTTATTGTTTGCGTAAGACAATACCTTTCGTTTCTGCTTGCATTATGCATTACAAATCTGCTAATATATTTGCTGGAATATTAAACGATATCGGTAAGGCTCTCACACTTTCGCCCTATTGACTCAGTGGCCCACACAAAACCCGGCTAATTGTGCCCGAGTTTGGCCGGGGTTTATTACGGGCCAAGCTGGCCCCAAATCGCAGCCCAGATACAACCAATTTCGTAACGCACAAAAACTGGCCGAAAAGGGGGGGTAGAGGAAAAAGGAATTGGCACTCAGAGCCAGTCGAATGTGGAACACATTGTGGCCCTATTGCTTTTAGCCCCAGTTCGCTTCTTGTTTATTTGTTTGTTTGACTGATTTGCTGTTGTTTATTTTGATTTCCGGCTCAAATGCCGAGTGGGCGGAGCCGGATCCTTTTCGATTTCTACATTGATTGTGTTGTCGCAGCAGGAGTTCGATTTCCTCTGCGGGAGTGTGTGCCTGTGCTGGCAGCAGATTAGTGTTGACAAACAGGCAACTGGCAAAGGTGATGTGCCGGCTCCTGCGACATCATCGGGCCCTGGGTAATCCCATAAACACCTCCCAGCTGGAACGATTTCCGGGGCTAGGAAAACCTTTTATTTGCCACGCCCCCACCCGCCAAACAACATCAAAGGAAATCCACGCTGGCCCAGTGGAAATGGCATTTCGATTGGCCCCGATAAAGTGTTTACTGCGATTTTTGCCCCCCAACAACTTGGTCCGCATAGTTCAACCGGCATTATTGTTTTGCATAAAAAATGCATTAATGTGAAATTTATGTATTTGTTTTGCCGCTTTTTTTCCGCACGTCCCCCGTTAATGTGTCACAAAGTCATAACTTGCGTTTTACTGTTTAACATCAACTGAGCTGAGGTCAGACATGGAATAACTTTTAGTGGATCGGTAAAAAACGCTATAATGCTGAGCAATTTATGCTGATAATTTGAATGCAAGGGATTATTTTTTTTACAAGCAGATTAATAGCGCTATTAAAACAAAGCGTTTGAAATAATTTAGAATAATGAATCGGAATTTAAACAAATCAAACTTATTATAGATTCAAAAGTTAATAAACAAATCAAAATGCAGATTAAAGTGCCTTATTCTTCACTAACAATTGACTAACATAGTGAAAACATTTTAATGCTTGCGATTTCTACGATAAACTAATTAAAACCATATTTTTAGGCATGTTTGCAATTCCAGCAATCATTTTAATTTCAATATTCCATATCTAATTTCCTATAAAATCATTTACAAATTGTTTTAAGTCAATGTCCTCAGTTCTCTTAAACATTAAGCCAGCATTTACATTTATTAGTTTTCATATAGACAGGCCAACTCATCAAATTTATCAGTAACATTTGAATGAGAAGAATCCATGCAAGCTTCACTTACTTGCTTTGAATTATTCAATTACCAAAAATTTTTGAGTACAAATTGTTGCAGCAAGTATTGTAAAAAGCCGAATTACTGGGAAATTGCATTTACATATGTAGATCCCCTCTGGCTGAAGTTAAACTTCTTCCTCAAACATTAAAAAGCAAAAGAAATTAAATTATAATCATTTGGATGGAACGCTGTTCTCGTTTGAGTTTCTGGGAATGGAAAAAAGATAAAACAGTCACGCTGGCCATGAAATGTTAATTCAGCAGAAACTATATTGCAGGCTGTTGCATTTTTAAGATGGACTCTGGATTCGCCTACAAATGCATGTGTGTGCGAATATAAATTACGAGCAATGTTATTGTGCAAAAACGAAGTGGCGAAAATTGCATTATGGCTGCAAAAGAAAAAGTAATTACAAGCAATTAAAACAACGTCAATTTCACACACATGCATCCCACGAATTACGCAAAAAATAGAAGTGAACAGAAAATTATCGCAAACTTTTGCGCAGCAAACTTTTGCAAGCAATTAAATATATTTGTCACTTCAAAATGGCTGACAACCAAGGGACCTTGCCGAAACCGCAACAGAATCGAGTGGTGCGGGCTGTGGGGCTGTCAAACATTAAACCGAGCCACATCTCCGGCACAACTTCTACCACTTCTTCTACTTCTAGCCAACTCCTACGAGTCCCGGAAAATGCAAAGGCAAAGAAACCTTCAACCTCAACATAAAGTTGCCCAGTAACTGGCAATCGTGACAAGTTCTGGCGAAGTTTTCTTTTCGCCCTCCTGTTGTGCTGCAGCTTACTGCAGTGGTGAAAATTTATAAAGTTTTAATCATGTGGAGCATTAGCAACTCATACTGAACTGTGTGTGCACACATCAATCAGGATGTACTAAAAATGGAATGTATAATTTATAATAGAGTATAATTTATTGTTAACATTAAACAGCATATAATATTTTATACATAAAAATCAAATTAAAATGTCACATGTAGTACATAAATGCTCAATAAGTTGACTGATTAAAGAACACAAACAAATTTTGGTTATCAATGATTATTTCTTCCATCAACATCAATCAAAATGTATGAAGAGTGGAGTGTAGAGTTTTATTAAGAAAATAGTGAAAAAAGTTGTGTATAAAAATTTGTATTTATTTATATGTTTATTAAATTTACTTATTCAAAAATATAAAACAACATGGAGTTTCAGTGACAATAAAAAAGATTGTGGACCAATTGAATCGTTAATGTGCATATTTTTAAAAACATCATTAAATAAATTGCATAAAAATATAAGATATGAAGTAAGTTACTTGTTTTAAAAATCTTAAGAAGTTAAGTTGCTTCATTTGTATTGAAGTGTTTTAGAAACGATTATTATTAAGGGTTAAAGCAAATAAGAAATAGAAAAGTGCTTTAGGTATTTAAAGAGCAGAGCTCTGAAAAAACTTCGATCATAAATCAAAATGGAATTCTTAGTCGAAGTTCAGATAAGTCGAAACTAACCGTGGTGAAACTCGAGGTCGAAGCGTAACCATAACCAAAGCCAGAACCCGATCCAACCCGGTTTTTTCCCCATCGTCAACAAAATGATCCCCTCCTCTGTTTTATGGTCTGTGAGGGTTACCAGCAGGGACACTCTAGATGCAGCCAAGTGGAATCAATTAATCTTCGCTCGCAAACATTTGCCAGTGGCCCCAGCCGAAAAAACAACACACCAGAATGCTGACATCTAAGGAGTCCGAGTCCGAAAATATGTAACTGGGTGGCATTTCCGAGCCCCAACTCCAGGGCTGAGTGAAACGTTTCAAGAAAGTGCAGCATGCAGCATGCAGCTTGCAGCTTCCAGCTATGAAAAATGATAAATTTCACTTTGTAGCAACCGCCCGTCCCTCTAGTTTCCTTCAGCCCAAAAAGGGTCCTGCCTTCCCGATGCTATTTTATTATTTATCAAGCTTATTACGAAAGCAGCGGCATCCACATTCACCAGGGAGGATGCGGATCCTTCAGCTGCAACTGTGCAAGTGCATCACCCTGGAAACCCTGCTAGGGACGGCGATTGCCGCTCGGTTTGATATTGAAAAATTATTGCTTTTTATGAAATGGTGTCATAAATTATTCGTAATACATTAACAATTATTTAGTAGTTGTTTTGCCTCGCTCGATGCGCCGGCATCTACTCAAATGTGTGATATATGGATAGTACTTACTCAAGCGCTCTCGACACACAGGAGCGCAGAAATTAATATTATTTTGCAATCAATTACCTAAAACGAGAAAGAAGAATGAGGCGGGAGATGTGTTAGTAAGGGCCAAAAAGATATGAATTCAATTTGAGCTTGTATCAGTTTTAAAAATAATAAAAACGTTGAAAAATTATATTAAGTCCTAGGAAAAATATTTTATTTTTAAGCACAGAACATTATATTAATCATTTTATACATAAAAACTCAATTAATGTTTTTAACGTTTTATTGTATCGTAGCATTAATAATAATTATTGGAATTTTCTTAATATATGTAATAAAAATATTTATTTAAAATTTCTTTCTGACAAGCATGAAGATGTAATTTTGAAGTTGAGACGCCACCTAAACTACTTCACTATGAAGCAGCCTCCACACTTTGCATTAAGCCAGAGATTAATCTTGAGCTAGACTTTATGTCACATTATGCTTCCCCTTTTTGGCATATTTACATCGACAAGGGAAGCCATCAGGCGAGTAAACACCTCCCGTCCCGAGTCTCCTGCCCGGGACACTTTTATT